GTTTCAGACTCATCGTGTTTCAGACTCATCGTGTTTCAGACTCATCGTGTTTCAGACTCATCGTGTTTCAGACTCATCGTTGAATCTCTGTTCAGTCAAATGTCACAGATCTGAAATAATGAACTAGAAAACTGTTTCTGTGCAGTGGACGTTTAAATAAAGTTTGGTGCGGTGCGGAGATGTTTACTGAAGCTGCAGCGTGATGTCACAGACACGTGATCAGTTTGTCTCAGTGACTCTCGATGACGACCGGCTCAAACGTACCAGGAGTTCCTCTGGAAAACAAGACACACATCATTTAGATGAAGGTCGAACACACGAGCGGTGAAACTGAGAGGACGTGAAGATCGGACCTGTTGGCGAGCGAGCCGCTGAGAGCGGTCGTCCCGTCTTTACTGACGAACAGCCTCAAGTTACTGTCTGAAGGAAACAAAGTGGAACAGGAGAAGTTGAATTTCACGAACATTCAGCAAAAACTAAAAACCCAAACTTCACAATCTTTACGACCTTCGTTGTTGCTGCTGTCAGAAAAGTTCTGGCTCTGGAGGATTTTCTCCACGATGACGTCAGCGTCGATGCGAGTGTCGTCCACCCAGCTGTGCTGACGCTCCACCGTGTCCTTCTTCCTCCTGGTGACAGGCGAGACAAACAGCCACTGAGGGAAGACTCGTACAGGTGTGTGCCGGTGTGTGCAGGTGTGTGTGTGTGTGTCTACCTGGACGATCTGTTGGACATAAATGCTGCTGCAGAGGGGGGAGGCGGCCGCTCTGGTCTGGTGGGCGTCCCTTGCCTCTGAGGATCAGTGGGGGTGGAGGGAGGAGGCTGGGCCGAGTGGGCGGGTCCGCAGGAAGCGCTGCTGCTGGATGACGTGTTTCTATGGTGACTGAGGTCCGTCAGGCTGGAGCAGCGAGAGTGACCTGTGCTGTAACCTGGAGGAGAGGAACAGAGACGGATGACTTCCTGTCTTCTCCACACACACCTTCATCACGTGTTCAGATCATGTGAATCAGAGGAAGCTTCTTTTCTTTCTGCTGCGCTGTGACGTCAGGATTCAGTTTCACGTGAACACAACAGATCTGACATCAAACATTTCACCGAACTGCACTTAGATGTTTCTGTTTTTCCTAAACCCAGGGACTTCTGGGTAATGACAGCAGGGGGCGCAGTTTCCAGGTTAAAATGGAATATGGATGTGAAGGAGAAGCTGTAAGGAGTTAGGAAAGGAGTTAGGAAAGGAGAGCCACTGAGTGGAGATGATCTGCCCCCCCCCACATTCATCCTCCTGATGTGTTTATGGCTCCAGTAAAATGTCGGGATGTGAAGGAAGAAAACTCTCACCTGATATCTTGCTGTGCTGGCTGGCGTAGCTGGAGCTGCGGAAATGACCCGAGTGAAAGACGTCATCTGGACTCCCCCCCTCCTCAGGTAGCCCTGCACACACACACACACACACACACACACACACACACCAGAATTATTCTGTTGTCCAGATAAAAAAAACTAAATGTACCGACTCCTGTCCTGACCCACGTGTCCTCTTAAGCATAATCCGGCTGAAAGCAAAACCTCGTACCTGAGCTTCGTACCGACGACTGTCTTGGTTTGAAGGAGCGAGATCCCTCCAGGATGCCCCCTGGTGGCTGCACCGTGGCATCAGTGCTCCCTCCCTTGCGGTCGAGCTGCAGGGTCGGGTCCTCGTCCCCGGTGGAGACAGATTTGGCCGTGCTGGGAGGCCTGGAGGTGACAACAGGAAAATACCAAACATAAAGAGGGTTAGAAACAAAGTGATTCAGTGACTTGTTTAAAACGCTGCTGGCCTCGTTTCAGTTTGAAAACTCTGGGCTTGTGTTTTATTCTGAACAGAAACTGAGACGTTCTCTTCCTGATCATCAGTGTGAACGTAGACTCACGTTTTAAAGCAGGGATCCCCGGACAGAAGACTCATCCCGATTGTTACCTTGAGATAAAACACAGATGTGTTAATAACCTCAGTGCTGATCTGTTTGTGTGTGTGTGTGTGTGT